CTTTCGCGGCGAAGAAGGCATCAATGACCTCGCACTGTTCGCTGCGGGAGAGGCCATTGCCTCGTGACACAATACTTTGTGCCGGGCACGAGATCAATCTCGTGCCGTACGCCTCGATCCGGTGGGAGTTGGGTCGGTGGGTGTTTATTCACCACGTCCGCATACTCCGTCACCAAAGGATACACCGGATCCTTGGGGTTCTTGAGAATCTCAGAACCCAAGCGCGCCTGACGCTGCTTGTTCATGTCTTCCAGGACGTTCTCGTCCAAGACAGAGGAGGAGTTCAGCTCCTCCTGAGTGGTCTCAGGTCTCATGAGTACCATCTCAGCGATCTCTCCAGCCTTGAGGTTGGCCAGGAAAGACTCAGCCGTCATTTCCTCGAGGTTCAGTATCTCTGCAACCTCTGGCAACTGTTCCAAGTGGACACCAGATGCCTTGACGGGTAAACCCGTCTCGCTATCGAAGATGTGATAGCACTCTTCCACCGGCCTTGTCGGAGGAGCCCGGGCCCTGGACTCCGAGTCGCTTGAAGCGACGTCGATCGGAACGAAGTTCGGATCCGACTTGAGGCGGCGGCGGCGTCTTTGCCGACGGCTTCTGTGACGGGGAGCTTTGCTGCCCACGTCTAGGGATGTCGTCGCTACGACATCCGAGGCACTCGTGGCCTCGTGTGGTACTGTTGTACCCACACAGGAAGCGTGTTCAACGCCTTCCTCTTCAGTTAAGGTCTGGGCGACCGCGTGTGGCACTGTGTTACCCACACAGGAAGCGTATCCGACGTCTTCCTCTTCAGTTATGGTCTGGGCGACCGTGAGTGGAACTCTGTTACCCACTCTGAACACGCTGTTCTCAGTGTTCATGACAGCTGCAGCTGTCTGCGGAACTAAGTTACCCGCCTGTGGACCTAAGTTACCCACTTGGCCGGCGCCTCTTCTGGGCGCGGCCACCATCAAAACATCCTCGGAGTCGTCATATACGTCGACGACTCCCAAAGCATCTGCCGGATGCTTTGGTACCCTGGCAGCCCTCGCGGGCGCCCCGGGTCCTGACAGAGGTGGGAACATGACTCACCAATGCTCTGTCGGACTGCGCAGGGCGGCTGGCAACGATTGCCTTGCCTCGCCAGTCGATTCCAGGGCTTCGTGCTTCT